ATGTTTGCCTGTGCTCTGGTTGCTGTTAGGCTTTTGCTCTGAGCTCCTGTCCCCTGAAATGTGGTCGGTTCTCATAAGCTGGACATGGAGTCTGTACTTTGGCAGGGTGACATTTCAAGCCTGAGAAATGGTGCTTCTGTTTTGTATGGAATATTTTTTTTCTACTATGCTATGGCAGTGGTGACTGAGGCACTTTTTTTTTTTTTTTTTTTTTTTTTCCCGTCTACTGAAATCTTAATTGGCTTTGAAAGAGCTGGTGGCTGTCTGATTCTTCTGTGTCTCATGGCTGTTCAGTTAATTATTTACACTTCTTGGGGATTTACAACTTCAGGCTTCTTTCTAATCTCAAACATCTTCTAGAATAGTTGCAGCCACTTCAAATTTGCCAACATCTGCAAATGTCATAAGCTTGTTTTTTCTTATACCAATCTTGCCTTAAAATATTTAATACCTTATGGCAGATTTCTACCCAATTCAACTACAGCCTTTCAGTTCAATAACGAGTCTTTGCTTATCCTCTTTTTTTCCCCTACCAGTTGAACGCTTGGTTTACAGAAATTTCTCTAAACCATATTTCTCTGGTTTGTTTATGTGAATGGCCTGAATCAAAGCCCTTAAACTAATGTATGCAATGTATACTCTATTTTATCCCTTTGGCTTATTATCCTGTTATATAAGGAAATTAAGAGTTTGTCAGAATTTCTTCTCAAGAAATTATGGTTATGAACGAACAACTTTTATCTACTGTGTACAAGAAATACCTCGTGAAGCATGATTGTACTGATTTAGAGAACAAAAGAGGTTGCGTGTTCTTTGTTTTGCATAACATTTGTGCTCTGCTTCTCTATTTTGGGGGATTTTATGCTGAAAAATTAATGAAAAATTTTGAGTTAATATTTAAAAGTGTTACTTCCTTTGAAGAAAGAGCTCCCCTTTGAAGGAATGTACCAAAATCATAATCCCACATTTTAGTAAGATTAACATTTTTTCTCCGCTTTTAATGTAATTGTGGTACTAACTTTGAACAGAACACATAATTAATCTTTATAAAAATATATTGTTGTCATCATAGCTTTCTATGAAATGTTTTACTTACAGATAACAAATGCACTGGGCTCTAGAGAAAGTTTGGGTGCTGCGTTTTGTTACTGTTCTTTTTTAATAACTTTATGCAGAATGCAGGTGAATGGATAGGGTTTCAAAATGATGTATTATTTAGTCTTTCATATGAGAAGGGAAATAGTGTCAGGAATTGGGATAAAGTATCACCACATGCAGCAATAGTAAAATAATATAAATTGTTTTGATTGGTGTTGCTAATCCCTAGTTATCCTAGTGAGTTACTGCAGAATGGATTTGACACATCAAAAGGGTGCTCATTTTGGTGCTGACTCAGAGAACTGGCTCCTTCATTGTGTTAATGAAAGTTACCTACTCATTTACCAGCTTTGCTTCACTAGGGAATAGGCTTGCTTTTCATATGCACAAATGTATATTCTTTCATATCTAAGAAGATATTCTGCATTGCATCTATGTCTACTTTGGGTAAAGATTTATTTTTAGTTGTGGAACCTTTTTTTTTAAAAAAATCAGTTTGAGAGGTCCAGTGATGCTTACAGAGGGATCTGCAGTATCTTCTCTAAGCGCAGGTCACCACATCGAATGGTTGTTCAGAAAATCTCAGCATCTGAGGTTCAGTGACTCACAGGCAGCATCTCTTTCTCATCAGGGAAATGTGTTTTTTGTGTGTGAGGAGTATTTTTTTATGTGTGTGATGAACAAAACATAGCACTGTTTAGCTATAACTAAAGAAGGTGCTTTTGTAAAGAACAAATTCAAGCTATGACAATTTGTGCTTCTAAATCTGGAAGTCCTCAGTTCAGCTGGGAGATGAGTAAGGGGGCTGCCCTGCATGACTACGGGCAGTTCAGCTACACATCTAAATAAGGGATAGCAGTTTGCATCCCTCATTTATTCCAGTCATTGATCAAATATTTTGGTGGAGTGTAATGCAAAGAGAACCACAGTCTAATCCTTTCCCTGCAATGATCAGTAGGCCACATCCTGAAACACTTATGTAGAAAAAGTCCTTCTGAGGCCATTACCAGAGCTGAATAAACCCTGATAGGCTGATCCATGAGGAATGATGCTTATGTACTTTGCAAAAGACCTCAGGCAACTATACCCCCTATTACCTACAACCTCAGCCAGTGCAGTTATATGGGATTAGTATGCAGCTGAGCTTTTGTCTGCTTTTCTATATTTCCTTTGACTAAACACCTAATTCCAGAGAGACCTTTTAAGAACATATTACCTGTTAAAATGCAGCCCATATTTATGTTTTAATTAGGACTGGTTTTGGCACAAAGATTGAAGTTATGACATGTTTACATCCTATTGATAAGTGTGTATTCTAGGAAGGAAAGTGCAATAAGTGCACTTGCAGTAAATGCAATCATAGTCTTTCAGGTTTTACTTACTTTCCATTTGCTTGCAAGAGACTATAAGGTTTTGGTGCCCTTGGTCTGCTGCTAGAGGAGAGGACAGACATGCTGCTCTTCTTCCTTTCTCCTGGTCCTGATCTTTCCTTATGGTCCCTCTCTCACCTGTGTGCTGATCAGGCAGAAAATTATTTCCTGTTTTTTTTTTTTTTTACATAGGTTTATTGCTAGTCCAGTCAAGTTGGTTAAATCAGTTTCTGAGCTGCTGAGAATACGAAAGCCAGTGTGAGCAAGCAGCAAGATAGTGCGACTTGGAGCCAGGGAGGGAAAGGAGATGGGCAGAGGTGGAAGACGCTGCTGCTTCTTTCAGCAGAGCGTGCCACAGCTGTGGTGTTTCCCTGCATCCGCACGCCGCAGCACCTCGCTCGAGAAACTGGAGCTTCTCTCTTGTTGGAGAAGTTCTCATTAAGCTATGGATATAACAGGAAATAGAAGATGGTAAAAACACATAAAAAAGTAAGAGAAAATAAAATTAAATAAGAAAAACAATAGCTTTCTTGCAGCTGGATTTACAGGTTTTCAAAGCAGGCCAGCATAAGGCACGTAAGACTCCTTACCCAAAACTGAAGAATGGAGTAGCTTGAAAGTCTTGAGAGCTGTCTCTTTTTTTCCTGAGTTTTTTTCTGATCCCAGTTTTTCTGTATCTGTTTCACTGTATTATTTACAAGCAACTTTTAAAATACGAAGACAGGTCAATCTGGTGAAATATACAGTTCAACATCCAGTTCCAAGATGCTTCACTGTGGAAGAGAACATCCTTCATGACCAACACGTTCAGCCTTCAGCACCGACTGCTGAGGCTGTATTTTGTCAATCCTCTGCTTAAACTTAGCAAACAATGTTTGGATTTGTTTTTCCTTCTCCTTTGGCCAAAAGCTATAGTTTATGGACAGGGGCTGGTCATGATGGTCATAAAAGACTCATACTTAGTTCAGTTTTTCATATGAAAAAATATGTAGATTTTTTTTCATAACATGTTTCTTTTTCTTTATTCTACAGAGACCTAAGATTTAATAGGATTAAAGAAATCCAGCCTGGAGAGTTCAGACGTCTTAAAAACCTGAACACCCTGTAAGTTCTTTTTCAACCCTAAGGCCCCTTCCTCTTTTAATTTAATGTGGTTAATTTGATAATGTGCCAAATTTGCTCACTTTTCACAGGTAAGTAGCATCACAAATTTCATCTGTAGTATTTACACAGGTGAGAGAGTAAGGTTTAGGCCCAAAGTATTTGAAAGCAAAACCAGGTATATGTCTATTAAAATAAAAAAGGAAATTACTTACATCCTAATGTTTTATTAGCATTCTTTAGTTGGAAACAGGAAAAATACAGGCCTTTATTTTATAAGTTTTTCCAAATTAAGCTAAATTACTTTGATGGAATATCACGTAATAAATCATGGAGTTACAACAGAGTTATTCAAAGGCTCAGATGTGAGGATGTGTTGCAGTTACCAAATATTTGACAAACTGATGTTATGAACTCTCCTGTTCTAATGTGCTCACCAGGACTGACAGAAGTTGGAAGGTTTTGTTCCTACTGAGCTTCCTTTGGCAGAGGTCTCTGTTACCATATACATTTGTGAAGAGAAGTCTGTGTTTTCTAAAAGGCTTTTTACAAACCCATGATGCCAATAGTATGTATATTATAGTTTTAACTTAGTATCTCCTTTGTCATTCCTTCAAACATCACTTTTGAACAGATGCATGCATGTTTCTCTTTAGTATATTAGCAGACATGAGGAGGAATTATGATGGACAGTTCTTTTAAATGTATGTAATTTATGATTGCAAATTCGACTGTTTTCTAGAACACAAGTAGTGTGTGAACTGGAACAGAATACAGTGATATCAGTGAGCTTTGGATTGTTACTATCTATTTATCCTTCAAGCACATAACAAAAGAAATGTATTGAGACATCTTGTATTGTATATTCACACGAGGAGAAATGCTAGGACTTTCCCCCAGAAGTATATTGTCCAAATCTGTACTACCAAGATGTTTTAACTAGCTATCCCTACTCCCAGGCACCTTTGATCATGCCTCTGTAGTTGATTCTCAGTTTTGAGTTACAATTTCTGTCAGATATCTGACCTCAAGTTTTAAACTGTTCAAATGACTGATCTGAGACCCACAAGTCTCAAATAAAGACAGGATTCACAAAGTTTGGATTCCCTTCTCTTCACAAAACTACTCACTGCATGAGAGATGAGTGCAAATCTGTGATGACAGGCGGTTGTGTTCCTGTGTGATGTGAAGGGCCCGGTACACAGAATATCACTAAGAAACATCTAGGAAAAGTCACTTCAATGCACCTGTTAGTGGCAAATCTTTGTTAATGTTGATTTTATCAATTTCAGCCCTCTGTGTAGACTTGGGACCAGAATTTTTTTTGCTTCATCTCAGATACTCACAAAAAGCCACATAATTTCAATTTCTCGATTTTTAAAATTTTTTATTTCTGTCTAATTTTTTTAGTTGTCTCCTGCAAGGTAAGGATTGAACAGCTGTAAGCACGTCACTTTTTTTCTTCTTCTAACAATTACTGTTAGGGAAAAAGCTTTTTGTTTTGTTATATTTTTAAGTTTTCCTTTTAGTGCTACATTTATACCTGTGTTACACATGTTGGTTTTTTTTCCCTACTAGTTGTGTATGTTAAACAGCTGTTTATTTCTCTTTATAGGCTTCTAAACAACAATCAAATTAAAAGAATACCTAGTGGGGCATTTGAAGACCTTGAAAATCTGAAATATCTGTAAGTTAAATGAATGTCTTTTTTTTTTTTTTTGCATCAATATGTAACTGAATTTCTTCATGGGGAAAGTATTTTAATCTGATTCACTATCTTGGGAGATAAACTGCTTTGAAAAATCTGTGAAATAAGATGGGGTGGGGGCAACTGTACGTCCTTTTTTCTGTAAGTAGATGCTTTGAGAATGCTAATATAAGACTGTGATATCTGTAGGCAGTAGATTTTAAAGGACTTACTAATTGCTTTTTACTATATGCAATTTAAAAGATAATTTAAAAAGGGGTCTGTTTAAAGGTTTAGGAGGTCATGTCTTCAAAAGTTCACTGAAACCTTCATACAAGTACTTTTTAAGTTTGTGATTTGAAAAGTGGTTTAAAGGCAGCTAGTCCAAGATTTGTTTGTGTTTACAGGAGCTTGTAATTTACATAAGCTTTTTAACTACTATATTGTTCACTGGATGCAATATAAATTCGTAAGACAAAAATAAAGTCAAACACAAGAGAGAGAAGTACCTATATTATTGGCCATCAGGTCTGTGTCTTCAGGCAAACTGTGTATTTTAAGAATAACTCCTCCCATTTTTCACAAACATACCAACTGTATTAATGATCTGAATAAACAAAAGGCATCAAAAGTTGTTATTTTTATCTGCAAAAAAGACTTAGTAGGTTGCCATGGATTCTCAGGTCTAGTCTCTAGAGTCCACCTTATGTAATGTTGCATAGAAAAGTTTCACTCCATTGTGTTGGAATATTGATCATTGTTTGTGCGCTGTACAGAAAAAAAACGATCACTTTAAGATTTCATTGTTTTGGAAACAATTTGGAAACTTAATTTTCCATCTAGTTTTCAAGAATACAGCCTGAATAGATCTAAGGAGGTGAGAGAAGAGAGGAAAATAAGTCACATAAATTTGTGCAAATACGTTACCCAGTTTTCCATGATGTGTTTGATTACATTTCATGGTCTCATTTTTGTGCATATTGTCCTTCAGTAATAAAATTGTTTAAGCTATACACAACTGGGGGAAAAAGAATACTGAACATATTATTTCCAATTAATTATTAAAGTCCGTGATGACTGAATAGTGTATCTGGTATGTAAGGTCTGCTAAGTCGGGATGGTTAAGCTTCTTTCCATAGTCAGCAACTGTGCAGAAATACTGCTTAGTTCTTATTAGTTCTTTATTTTTACGTCTGCCTTTGCCTAGCTGCAGTAAACCTGAAATAAAACTCAACTATGTACTCTGTTCAGCTCAATAGAAGACTGAAAAGAGATAACTGAACTATGATTTGCTTGTTTTCATATACATGTAGTAGTGTTTACCTATATCTATAATTTTGAGAGCAAGATCTTTTCCTTTTCATCTTGTTCCCTGGAAAATTTGAGTATAATGTTTGATGTGATAGTTCATTCAACTGCAGAGAGCTCTTTAAAGCCATCCCCTGTTTTGCTAAAGTAAAGTTCAAGATCTTTTTGCTTTAAAAGCATTTGCCTGTTTAGCCTTAAACTGTACAGCCTTAAAGTTAACAAAATGCTGGTACTGGTCAGATATCAATACAGAAGGCTCAGATGTAGCAAATATATACAGTTCAGCTGTGAAAATGTTAGCTAAGCACGTGCTAAGTGTATTCTGTGGAACAAAGGAAACAAAAGAAACTACTTTTTCCCAACAGGATGAAGTTAAATAGAAATTAGGGGGGTGAAAAATCGCAATATTTCTTAAAAGAAAAAAATATTGTTAAGAATTTAATATATATAACCAAATTATCTGGAATATTTGAGACTTTGAATGGCCTGATCCTATGCATATTTTCAAACCTAACTTGTGTTGTTCTATTTCATAAAATGAGATCGTTAGTCCATGATGTTATTTGTGTTCTTAGGAGAACTGAAGTACTGGATTGCAGATGGTTCTGGAAATGTATAATTCACCGAGTAATTTTAGAAAACCTGTTGTTTCTCAGTGGCTTTGATTTAAAGAAATATGAGCATATAAAATTATAAAATATATAACTATTAGTAAATATAATTATATGTGTAAAAATACTTGTAAGTATTGAGTTATGTATAAAATATGTAAGTATAAAACATAATACAGTATTTTTTTTTTAAAGCCAATGTCTGAGAGAGAGATGTCAAGGCCCATTCTTGTATCTCTGCTGCAGTTTTTGGTCTTTTAGTCAAAGATTTTTCCAACAAGACTCGAAGAGCCCTGGGATTTTTGAATAGTGCTTTGTACTGTTTGTTTCTAAAATTGAGAGTAGAGTTTTATGAGGTATATATATATTTTCATAATTGTCTGTCTGGACAACACATTTTGACAGAGTAATAATATTTTCTCAATGTTTTGTGCATTAAAAATATTAATCATTGAAGAAGTTGGTCTTTACATTATAAAAAAAACGTGCATATGATTTCTGAATCTTATTTTTTAGGATTATTTCTTTTCTTGTAAGTTTTTATGTAACTGAAATTTTGACAGTTCTATAAACAGTTTTGTGTGATGTTGCTGTGCTTTTTGTGGTAATAATTTTTCTTTGAATTCATATACTAAAAGTTGTAAAGAAATAGGTGTCATTATTGTTTCACTATGAAACCAAGAGAATACTTTTTCTTTCTGCCTTTCTGTCTGTCTTTCTTATTTTATATGCCTTAGTATTGGCAGTATTGTTCATTAATAAGCATCAAAAAGGCAAAAGTAGCTTGGACTCCATCCATAATATAGTTTCTTTCTGCACTTCAGTGATTCTGTATAATTTTTCTGGTCTTATGTTCCCCCTTCTGCAAAGGATAATGTGAATAGTCCTGACTTAAATAAATTTACAAAGTTGTTTTCATGTGAGCAAAATGACTGGTAACTTGTTTGTAATTTGTTGCTCCTGACACAAGGCGTATATGTATATATGATGTATATGGTGAACTGAATATATTTAATTGGCTTCCTGTGAGTTATTCAGTTTACTGACTAGAGGTGGTAGTACAGAAAGATGAGAAAGAAAAGCTTCCCAACCTTGTAATACAGGTGCAGGCAAATTTGTGGAAACTTGTTAGGATAATCCTTCCTGATCCTGAAAGTCAACATTCTCCAAGACAGAAGATAATTGGGAACTGAAGGCAGAGACATATTACAGTTTATAAACATGTAGGATGTTAGAAGATTTGGAATCAGCAGTGGAAAATATGAGGTTAAGATTAAAAAAAAAAAAGAGTCTAGGGAGGAGATATGGAAAAATATTAAATATGGATTAGCAGTTACAGAGAGTTGTCCAGGTAAACAGAAGGTGCTTGATATTTACAGAGTAGTATACTACAAGCAAGTGTGAAGGAAGTGTAGTAAATAAAAATGGAGAATGAAAATTACTTTGGCAACAACACCGAGACCTGTTCACTTAGTAAGAAATGGAGAAGTGAGAAATCAGACATGGCAACAGTGTGATAATCAAATGATAAATTGAAATTAAGACTGTACAAAATGTATCGGTTCTGGAAATACTAAAAGGGAACATGCAAGGTTTGTTTTGCATTTGGTGAATGGAGTAATAGTAGTAGAAGATGTGTTGGGGTTTGCCAAAGTGCAGCGCTGCTCAACTCACCTTTCCAGAAATGGGATTAGGTCACATTTCCTTCTGAGCCTTCTGACACTGTTGCTGTCATGATCATGTTACTTTTTCCTTTGAGTATCTCCTGTGATTTTAAATCTCATTTCTTTGCAATTCACATTGCTGATTTCACCATCTGTTTTATGCTTCTATGTACATCTCTCTTTCCTGTATTTACTTGGCAGGTTTTACTCTGCACTGCCTGATGTTGCCATTACTTTGCACTTTTTTTTTTGTCTTGTTCCAAATGAATATGTCAGGATCTTGGTTTTCTTAAATCACATGACTTGTAATACAGCCCATAAAATCCAAAAATTATCCTTATAGGGGTTCTATAAAACTTTTTTAATTAAAACTCCTTTTTTTCTAATTTTCTGATAAGTGGTTACCTATGTTTTTGTTCATTTCCCAAGTGTATGACCAATATGTCTGGTCTTTATCAGCCTTGCTTGGATTTCTAGAAAGAGGGTTTTTTTCTTTTTTTTTATACTCTTCAGAAAATAGTTAGTAGTAATTGCCAGAAAATAATGTAATTTCTTAGTAGAATATATCCCTTGTCATCTTAATACACTGTTTATTCATCCTTTGAAAGAGTCTAATGGTTCAGTTGTGTGATAGAGCTTTAAATAAATCAAATGATAAATTACTTTGTCCCTAGTTATATTATAAATCAGTTTTCTACTAATGTGACTGGTATAAATTTTGAGAAATTTTTATTAGTGTTTGCAAAGTTTCGGTTGTTAGGCAAAGTAGCAATTTAGAAAGACATAAATATTTTTTGTGAGTGCTACTTAGTTGTATTTTATATTCTGCCATCTCTCTCTTCATTAGGCAAATGTATATTTTTTTTTAATCTTTCTGTTAATATTTTCAAGGAAACATCTACACAACTAAATGAAAGGGTGGTTAACACATCTGTCATAGGACATACCTTTTTGCACCCTTGGGTTGGTGGGGTTTCTCCATGGAGGGGGGACATGATGGACTGAGGTCAGTTGAGTGTCCTGCAGTTTGAGGTGATCAGCACAGCAAAAGTTGTAGTTTAAAGTTGAATCCCAAATAAAGTCATACCACAATGGCTTGGTAAGAGCTCCAAAAGTGGACATGAAAGGCTACTCCCTTCCCTGCAGTATGGTGGTAAAAGTCTGAAAAACTACGAAGTCATTATCCCAGTCTTCCTCTAACCCCACCTTGTTCTTCAGTCTGCTTTACTTTGTCTGCAGAAAGTAAATAAAAGTTACATCAGTGATTCTTTTTTTTTTTTTTAATTAATTCAAACTTCTTGAATAAAATTCTTCAAATACCCCTAAGAGATACTTAACTTTGGTCAGTTCTTAAAAGCATCTTAGCCCACTCTGGTTCAATGGTCTGATCAGAGTTTATCACTCACAGGAATAATAGGAATTTGCAAACTGGCAAGTGGAGTGTATTAAGAAAGTAAATTACACTTTGGCTATTCAGTCTTTGAAATTTTCTAAGGAGTGAGAAAAAATGGTGCATTTAAAATCCTCACTGTAAAATAAGATAGGAATGTATTATCATAAAGAGAAGAAAATTAGGGAGAGACAAAATGGTAATGACTGTGATCCCGAAGTGAATTGGTGAATCTGAGTCAAAACAAATATTTGAATACCGGTGAAATAATATTTTTTTGCAAATAGAATAAAAACAAATTCCACATCCAAAATAAGTGTAATACACCTGTTCTCTCTCTTTTAAATTATTTTTAAAGTTTTTACAGTCTTTTCACATGACAGTATTTTTTTCCAGTTTAATTTGTTCAGAATTTTCAGCATTTAAAAAACTTAACAAACTTTTGTTCGTTAGCTGTTCTGTTGTTGGAGGAACTCTGGTTTTTGTTCAGATGGATGTCTGTGTTAATTAAGCACACCTGAGTCTATATATTCATGTGTTGGATTCTCAGCAAACAGTACATTGGAAATATATATTTAGACTAAACAGAAAGATACAACTCTATATTGTCCCCCAAAGTTGTCATGAGGTGAACATCAGATGTCTACAACCTTTTCCTTATTAAGGCCTATTGTGAAATGTTGTCCTCTGTCGTCAGTGTAAAAACTGCCACCAGCTCCAGCAGAGCCAGTATTTTATCTGTTGCATCAAAGAAGTTTGCAATATTTACAGTACGTTACTGAAAACTCTAGCAATAAAAAAGCCAAACTCACTACTAATAAAATGCCTGCTAATAAAGCCATTTGGGGTCCAAAGTCTCTTCATTGTTTTTTTTTCATATAAATCTGTGCCTGATTAACTGTTTCAAACTGTTTGTCAAAATAATTGTGAGAAAGTTCTTACTGTGAACCTGTTCCTAACTTAACACAAAAAGAGAGTGACTGACTCTGAACTCCAACAGTATTTTCATTTGCTGCCTCCATGCAGAAACTGCAGTCATCAGCTAAACTGTGTGATTTTTCTCCAGCACCCTCTCACTAAACCATCTTTACTGTTAAAAGCATGATGAAAGTGAGCACATACACTGATCCATCCTGGATTATTTTTATTCTGTAGAAAAGGTGTAGCCAGCATATGTGAACATACTGGTACTCTGCGCATGTTTATTCTGTTTATATTATGGAGTATCAATGGAGACCTAATGTCGATCTTCTACACAGTGATAAAACATACAGTGCTGTATGCAGTACCAATATTCTAACTTGTATTTTTTTATAAATATTCAAAAGGTGACACAGGCAGAGTTATAGAAATTCTCACTAGAAAGAAATTCTGGTCAAAAGACAAATTCCATCATAATTTGAATATTTGTACCAGTATCCAGATGAGATCTTTTAAGGAAAGTAAGAGGCCAGTGGCATCCCCAGTGCGTTCTGGTAAAGGCACATCTGATGCAATTCTGTCCCATGAAGTTGAATTTATTTTAACTTTTGGCAAGCCTATGATGAAACTGAGGGGCAAAGAAACAGTAAGTAGTGACAGTGAGCACTGGGAATCCCAAACCATCTGGGTGACAGCCTCAGGGCCTACAAGGCCCTAGACTTTTGTCTTTCCTGGCAAATAATTGCGATGAAATCTCAATGCAAAGTATTTTTATGTGTATGTGTTTAGTTTTTGTTTTGTATTTTTTTTCTAATATGTAGTTGAAAAACTGTCTTCATGTGTCAACTTAATTCTTCTTTTCCACCTTCATGTAGCTCTTGTTTGTGTACTAATATTACTGATTGTTTCTTGTTTCAGCTATTTGTACAAGAATGAAATCCAGTCAATTGACAGGCAAGCATTTAAAGGACTTGCCTCTCTAGAACAACTGTAAGTGCCTTTTCTCTTCTGTGCTGTCATCTCCATGGTTCCCCCGCAGAGGAAAAGTGCACGCCTTGATCCGTACATCCTGCCTGCATGCTCTGCATGTCTGCACTCCCTGGGTTGTTAGGCAGAGCCCCATAATCATTTGCATGTGGAAAAACACAATTGATCTCTGTGTCAAATTCCTCATTTCTGTGTTTGTCTTTTATTTGTGATTTGCATTCCCGGTGTCCCTATACATTGTTGCATAGCTTTGACAAAGAAGAAGCATTATTGTAGAAAATGTTGAAAACTAATGTATAGTGCTTATAGACTGATTTAATTTCTGTAGGTTTTATAACATTGCAATTCCTTTGACTGCAGCAGTTACTTTGTTTTATGCCAGCAAAACTAAAGCTGAATTAATCTCTTGAATTTAACCCAGTTTTGTTATACTTTAAAACAGGAGATTTTAAAATGAAAACCTTACTATTCCTCATACGTGTTAATCATTGCCATATACAGATGTTTAAGAAGTAAGAAAGTTTGTTGTTTGTAACGTAGATGTTTCACATGTTTCTTCTAGAAAGGCTGATTAAAATAATACTCCTTTTCCTGGATAATGACTGAAGAATAATTTCTGTTGAAAAAGAGTGAAAAGTGCAGTCATTAGCATGACAAAACCTGATTGTATTGATTCCATTAAGTTTAACTATATTTTATTTTGTAATCAGCAAGTATTTCTACACATTAATTATGGTCATGTTTAGAAAAACTAAAAGAGCTATACATGCATAGCTGTTTCACAGTTTGACTGCCAAATAACAGTACTACCCCAATGAGTTTTGTAGCAGCTACATTTTGGGGGCTAACATATTTCTGCTAGGACCAACATACATTTTGAAACTCCTGACAGTTATCAGTGTATTACAAACTTTCTATGATATGTACCAGTTTTTTTGTTGCTATAATCCTCTAGGGGATATTAGTGTGCACAGTGTGTGTCTGAAATAAAATGGCACTTCAGATGGGTACAGAATCATACAAGCTCATTTTAGAGGGCAACAGATGCCTTTTGAAGGAAGAGCTTCTACACAAAACAAAAGTGATTACTATGAAACATATATGAATGTATTATTTGTTTCCTTAATACCTTTCTCTTCCTCTTCCTTCTACTCTAGCAATGATTACTGCAGCATATTGACAGCAACTGGTAGGGCTTACTTGCATGCTAATAGCATTTCTTATTTTCTGTGTAGAATTTTAGATATTGAGGCCCATTTATTGAATTACTAATTCTTCCACAATAATATTCTTCCACATGCCACAAGCCTGATAGGCTGCAAGTGTCAACAATTGCCCTTTTTTCTTTTGCGCTGTTTCCTGTTGATCTGTGTCATGACTGAAAAAAACAAGTCACTTTGGAATATTAACACCTTCTGAATGTACTTTTCCGCTAGGTTGCAGGTAGGCCTCTCTGCCTGCAGTGATGTCACACTGTATCAGCTTATGCTCAGATTTGAGACATCAATGTTATTCTGTATGAGGTTAAGTTTTAAACAGGGTTTGAGTCTTATTTCTAACTGGGAAGTCTGGAAATAGAGCCAGTTCTTTGTGAACAAGTTCCCAAGTCCTCTAACTTCAGTTTGGGACTGTACTGGCTGCTCAGTCAATGTTTCCGCATTTGAGGCTTCTGTGGCCTCAAGTTATCAAAGACATTTTGGTGCTGGATGTGTTTGCTGAGCCAAGTGCTCTTCTCAATGCTTAGCAGAGCTCTCAGAAGGAAATGTGGTCCACATCTCAGGGGAAGACTTGGTCCACAGTAATTTCTTCTACTCCAATGATGTGGAATGAAGCCGATAGTTGCTTTTTTAAAAAATCTGAACAGCAAAGCAAACACTTTTCTGGGGTTTTTTTGTTTGTTTGTTGTTGTTCTTTGAGAGAAACTGTAAATATATTTTGATTTAGGAAGCCTGTTGCTTTATAAAGGAAGAAAAACCCCAGTATTTACTGCTTCTGGCATTAAACCTCCACGGCAGAATTCTTAGCTGCTGATGTAGTAGAAATATCTTTTTCTTCAGAAATTTCTGCTAAGGGAACAAGGATCTTTGAATCAGATTTTGAAACTCACTTATGCTAGAGTAAAATCGTAAAAAAACCTGGCAGTTTTAGATGCTCAAACACACTGAGCCATACATATTTTGTCACCTAACTCTTCAGTCACACCGGGGCATGAAGGGTGAACGTCAGCTGATGAAAAGTAACCGCTTAGTACCAGTTTAGACCCTGTTAAATCTGCAAGACGTATGTTTTGGTCTGGCAAATGCAACACAAAGCTGTGGGAAACTTGCATTTTTTTTGGAGCAGCAGCTGGAAGACAGACAGAGCACCCAAAAGGCAGCGAAAGCCGCCTCTATATGCTTGGGCTTAGACAACCACTGTATGCCTCTATATGCCTGTGCTTAGACAATTGAATCCCACCTGAAATGTCACAAGTACCTGGCTTGGGCAGTCACAAGTTTGCTGGATCTGCATCCCAAGATCAAGCTCTAAATGCAGTCTATTTACAGAGGTGTGTACATTGTTTTTCTTCCAAATATCTACTATATTTTTTGAGATCTCAGCTTAAGAGCTGCATGTATCAACGACAAAAAGTGTTTTCTGCAGTCCTTGACTAGTCGGATCCCCAAATACTAGTGGAATTATTTATATTTGTTTACCTAATCTTAGTGGAATACTAATTATGCATTTTCTTTTAACTTTCATATTAACATACCAATTTTGCTCTTTATCAGCTGTTATTAGAGTTATGCTGTAGTTTCTGTACACATGTATGTATTTTGGGGGAAATTAATAGATAAAAACATTATCTTACATACAGTGATGCAGCTTGTTATGTTCATTTTATTTCCCTCAATTCAATTTTCAGTAGGTTTGAAATGTTTTTATTACAAAGAGTTCCTGGTTTTTGAATAACTGTATGTGACCTGAATAAAGTCTCATTGCTGCTAAAAATACCTATGGTAGGGAATAATGAAAGAGAATTAATTAATAAACAAGCAAACAAATGAATAAACAAACCCAAAAGGTATGAAAGGGCCTTTAGAAGTACATCCTTATTATTCTAAAATAAGATCGGCTAGGGATAACAAACCTAGATGGCTGGAAACAGGTATTTATCTAACTATATTTTAAAAGTCTTTAAAGAGGAGATTCCATAATCTCCTTAAGTATCCTGTTCCAATGCTTTATATTGTTACTGTAACATCTTATTTAAATCTTTTTCCTTGATGTTTAAGCCTGTTACTCTTGTCATACCCCTGGGCAGGGAAATGTCTTTGATAAATGTGGGAAAAATATGTTTGTTCATTCTCTTTCAAATAATCAAAATGGCAATGAATATGCCATTATTGTGATATAATATTCCATCATATGAAATGAATATTGAAAACATAGATTGTACTCAACTAATGGATTTTAAGTACTTCCCTAGAGACGTGGAGATAAAAATATTATGGTACAGAAGATATAATCCTAAATTCAGTGCTGTGAAAAATACCAGTGGGACTGAATTTTGCTCTAAATTTTCATCCTCCAAGATGAATAACAAAGAGAAAATCTGTACCATGCTTATTTGATCAAATCTTTATCTTCCTCTAGGTGTGTTTGGTTTGGGCTTTTTTTTTCCTTTGTTTCCTTTCCTTCTGTTTCATCCTTGATAATGAATTCAGCATTAAAAAAGGAAGACATGGTTATTTAAAAATCACTCTTGCATGCTTTTTCTTTAAATTTCTGTTATGAAAGTCTCTTTAATATCAAATTCATTATATCATACTGCTATTTTTAAGAGCGTTTTTACTTTGAACATAAAATATGTCTATAAAGACATGTCAGTGTGAGATTATTTCCTGAATATGATTACCTTTAAAGTGAATTTCCAGTCCAAGAAATTCTCATATTAATTAAAATATTAAAAATTCTTTAAAAAAGCATTAATGTGATAGATAGAATAAAATAATGTAAGTGATAAACCTAAACGATAAAATGTGATTAAAGTGTAGGTCATAAAGCCAAGGGGTTTTTATTCTTTTTGTTGTAGACTTACAATGCAATCTGGTTCATGCATCTATTTCTTTTAGAATTATATTTGTTGCTAATAACTTTGTCTACACATTTAACACTATTCTGTTCATAAATGGCCTGACAAGTTGCTAAGGACTTTTTTGAGGTCATAATTTAAAGACCTGCAAAACCCAACTCACTTGTCATATGAAGCAGTTAAGAATATTTTCCAGTTGGACTGATCCAGTTGATCTGATGTTTTGAGCTACTTTACGCAGCATGATTTCTGATGAGGTAAAGTTAACTGTTATAATGTGCTTCAGTGCCTGAATTACTGTAGCTGTATCTGTGATGATTTGAGGTTGTAAACAGAAGTATTGTTTTAATTAAACTGATTAATTTGGTTGGAAAAGCAAGACCAGTTTTCAGCCAAATAAAGTATTCTTTACATCTGTAATTGCAGTAGTCTTGAATACTAAACAGCAGTAATGAGCTGTTGCTTTGAGTTAAATGATGTATATACATCACTCAAACCATCCAAGAGAGGTGCCTTTTGTTTTTCTCTCTTTGCTAATGTCACCTCTGATCCATGGACCTGAAGAAGGGGCTGTGTGCTGCCATGTGCTTGCTTTTACCAGTGTTATTTGTTGTTCCAGTAGGAGGTATTACTTGTACCTACAAATCTTGTCAATACCAAAGAAGTACAAGAGATTAATTTATTGGGAAGATAAGGAGACATGTTTGCAAGGTGCTTATGAATCACAAAAATGCAAGTAGAATTAACAAAGTCAAAAAGGAAAAAATCCCTCTTGGCTGCACAAGAAGTAGTGTGTGTAATTTTTTTTCCAAAATGAAAGCTGCTTCAGAAGAAGTAACAAACCTTATAGTTGTGTCTGTTTTTTCCCTTCATCCTCTTTCACTGCTGTGACCCCCAGCGTGTCTTGCCCGCTCCCCAGCGCTGCTGATGCTGGGCAGGTGGGCGAGCGGAGCCCTGGCTGCAGGGGAGCCGTGCCTGCCCCCTACCCACAGGCAGACACCGGCACCGTCTGGCCAGTCCTTCCTCAGGGCTGGACCTCACGGCGGGCTCTCTGCTGGTGATTCAAATGAACCTTGCAGGAAGTATCTGCCTTTGAGATGTCTGTCTTTTTAATTTAGATGAAATTGGCCGCTATTTTCAAAAGGGAGCTGAAGACTGGCAGGCATAGCAGGATTACGCACTTCTTGTTTCCTTATGCAAACAGGATCACACTCGGTGCTCGCTACAGTATGTGGCCGCGCGTTGCACTGGCAATAAGCAGACTTGACACTCCGATGTGCCTGATCACGTCCATGCTGATTTATTGGCTTTTTCTGTGGTCCCCATTCATTGCTCCCTGGCATCACTCGCTGGCTCGCGCTCGGGCCCGTGCTGCTGCTGGCGGGGGATCTGGGAGGCTGCCAGGCACGTGCCTGGCTTCCCCGCTGCACGCGCCTTACCGGGCTCGCTGCAACACCTCTGCCGTAATCGCCGCCTGTTCCCGCTTCCCTCTCTCTGCAGCGACCGTTCGGCTCAGGTCAGGGAGTGGAGCACGTGTGGTGTTTCAGCACAAGGGTGTTCCTGTGTCCCTTTACTTTTCATGCTGAAGGGTTGATTTTTCAGAAGATTTTGGGGTCTGAGATTTTGTTTTTGTTTTTTAATGATGGGCCTTTTCATTCTCCAGCCTACAGTGATTACATGCACATTCACCAGATGTTCCTGAGTTTGTCAGAGGTCAAATAACAAACTTTAGGAAATTTGGATACATTTGGGTATAATCAGGATCCAAAGTCTATAAATCATTTTTACAGTTCCTTGTGCAAGTCTTATCAATTACGTCTTGTTTTCTTGTCTGCAAGGTTATGGAGTACCTCCTCAACATAGTCAAGACTGGAAAGATTTTTGCAGTCTAATTTTCAGAGCAGTTGCTGATTAATAATCTGGTTAATTAACTTGTTACCTTGGATTTTTTCAGTTTTACAGGATTAACAGCTGTGTAATATTTGTTGCTGTGTAATATCAATAGTTTACGTAAGCATCGACAGAGCATCGAACAGAGCACAGCTGTGGTTGTTGATTGTAACCCAATTGCTGGGAAGTCTTTTGTCTAAAAGCAGTTCAGTCAAACTTGGTTTTAGGTTACAAATTTGTTTGGCTTTTGAGAGTGTTCCTAGCTTTAAATGCCAGTATTCATGGACTAGAGCAGGTTACTTCTCAGCATATTTTGAAATTTTCACTCAATGTGATAGCAATGAAAACAGTTGCCCACTAAAAATGTTATTCTGCTGGAAACTGTAAATGTTTTCTAAACACCCTGCAACATTTTCCTGTAAAAATTCATGATTTTCTTTTTTCCATATACATTTATTCAAGTATGTATATTAATAAAAATTTGACTTGACAAAGGAGGATTAAAAGTAGTATCTCCAAAATCTCCAAAGAATGGTTTTCAAACAATTTTTTTTGCACATACATGTACAGACACACATTCAGACACAGACATGCACACACACTATATAATGGTCTGCAAACCCTTCTTGTTAGTTGAGTCTTGTATTTCTCAAATTCAAGTACAGGTTCAAGTATTCAGATGATAAAATGTTAAGCCACTACATCGCTATCACCATTTAGTCAATGTGTGAACAATAACATGCTTTATAATATTTCAGCTTAATTAAGAAAATTGTTTCAGTATTTTTCTTTTTGTTTAACATATTTTCAGGTATCTGCACTTTAATCAAATAGAAACGTTGGAACCTGAATCCTTTACCCATCTTCCAAAACTTGAAAGGCTGTAAGTTTGTTTTTCTTGGGATATGATTCAGAATTCAGCTTGCATTTCTGTTTGAATTAAATTAAGTGTTTGAAACTGGAAAATAATATTTTTATCATTCCCATAGATTATTTTTAATCTAAATTTTTTATTGTAACTGCTACGTAATCTTTGCCAAGAACACCATGGGTCAGGCTGACCTTAGAGGCATGCAGAAGTGAGCATTGCCTGTGCTATGTTTTTCTGTTGCAAAACT